TCTCTCGATTATTGATGTTTCATCGGATTGTTTATCCCACTATTGATATCAACAAAGATAAGTATCTTACTCCTTTACCTCGCACTTCAAGGAGTGGTAACTCCAAAACCTTCATAAGACCACATTCAAATTGCAATCAATATGCATTCAACTTTTTTCCATGGTCAGTCAACCAGTGGAATAGACTTCCAGGTAACATTGTAAATATAGATGATAATTTAAAATTTAAGGCTGCTCTGTGCAACCATCTTATCAAAACTGGGAAGTGGTTTTAAAAAATTCCTCTCATCACATATATATATATATATATTTATTATTAGTGTTTATTTATTATTTTGTTGTATTTATAATGATGTGATGTATTTATATGTTTTATCAATTCATAAAGTAGAAGAAGAAGGGTGGCACAATGCTGGGAATTGCTCTGTGAGTGGGCAGTGTGGATTATCTCTATAGTGGTTAATCAAGCTCCTGGATAAAGAGGCAAGACTTACAACCATCCCCACTGGGGTTGTCTCAAACAGGAAACTGGAGCAGGTCCAGTAGAAGCAGGTCAAGCAGAAGCAGTACAGAAACCTGCAGGCAATGCTATTTAACAACTGAGAGAAGAACAAGAAGACAGAGAAGATGCCGCACAGCAGCTGATAACCAGTTCCCATCTCAAAGGCCCGACACATGAGAACTGAAGAACTTAACAAAAACCCCAACAAAAAAACGGCTTGTTCAGATGCCAACAAGTTTGCAAAGGAAAATGAGCAACAATATTATAACCTTCTAAAATTTGAGGAAGGATTGGGGCGAATTTAAAGGTTCGATTATTATAACAAATATGGCAGTCTGTAATAGAACTGAAGAGAAGTACCATCAACTGTCTAAATCATTCAGGTAAATTCCAAGTTACTTATTTGACGACCATTTTCAACTAAAAGCCTTATTTTGGACGCTGGCCAACTTACATATAGGCGTTGGCAAAATGACCGGCATTCGTTTAAAATGGCGGATTTTCAACCATATTTGCAACCATATTTGAGTGTCAATTATTTTAGACTAAGTTCTGTGATCATGAAAACAACCTCCACATCAACCTACAAACCGATAAAATATCCTAACTGCGCAGTGAATCAAACAACGGACCATCAACACCTTTTGTTCAGCTTTCTGAGAGCCTGATTCCGCGAACAAGTACATCGATGACATACAATCTAATAATTGAGACTTTTTCGGCAAATTCAGAGGGTTAGTTTGTGGCGATGATGCAACAGTCAACCTCAAATAAACCATGTTCGCCGAAATCAGAAAGATCATCAACACATCTTATAGGAAAGGAAGCTAAGTCTGAATAATGCAGTTGATTAACAGTTGGCTTTGAAACTTAAACACCACTAACGTAATGAAAATAGTTCGCAAACCTTTAAGACGCATTGATCCTGAACTACGATGATGTACTTCTGGTGTGATCAGGTTCCAACTGCCACCATTCGATGCTCTTCCATAACTTCACGGACTTAAACCTACATTTAGGATATACGAGTTGAGATAAACTTAGAAACAATCGTTACGAAGATATTTGAAATAGCTACAAGGTAGATTTCGAAAACTATCGAGTTCGACGCAATAGTATTTCACACGTACGTGTTGCCGCCACATGATCTGCAAGAACAGCTATGAATTAAGTAATGGAATTTCCTATACAAAATCTGACTTACCGTAACATCTTAAAGTTAAAGACTAATATTAACCTATCGAATCCTTCCCGAGACAAGGTCAATGCGAACTGACCTCGTTGACCCAGCGATCTGTGTCCTCGTGTGTCACACTATCATGATCACGTGATTCTCTAAATTTAGAACGCGACACCAGAGTAAACGGTCAGCGGTCTTTTGATGTCATATCCTCTCACTGAAAAATATCATTTTCATTCTTACTATTCTTTTATTAGCATGTTGATAATTTTCTGCTTAATAAATCAGCTTGGGAGTGCAGACAGTGATGAACACCTGTATCTAATCATGTATTTCCAGGGCGTTAAGCGCGTAAGAACATGGCAACATAATTGTCAAGCTAATTGTGGGAAATTGTAGCAAATGCTGTTGGAAAGTGCTCAATACACATGGGTGTAGAGCGAAATACAGTTCAAAATAAATAAAATGAAACACGAATGATTCCCTGTAACCCTGAGTTTCGTGCTTACGCACCCGTCAGTCAGATTTAATCTGTCTGTCTGTCTGTTTCGAACTTTTAACGATGCAACTTAACTCGAGATGGCGGAATGTTCACAACTAGGGGACCCGTAGCGGGTTCATTTCAACACACGCTGTGACTACGCAGAAGGGTATCAGATGCAACCATATTAGTAAGCCACGCATTTGCGTTCGTCTTCAGTTGGTATAAAGTAATCATTGCTCTATCATTGTGCTTGTCCTCGGGAGCTCTTCAACATACAGTCCACACATCAATCATAGTGGCCGAGATAGTCTCAGTAAAATGTTTTCTTTGAGCTCTAAGATTTCGGTCCGGACTTGAGGCTCGCTCGAACAAAAAAAGCAATACCAAACCGATCAGTACAAAATACAGACTGCAGACCGGGTAGAAAATGCGGCTTAGGTACAAAATGCAGACTGAGAATTCATACTGTGTTTTCGTCTGTTACGTGATAACATGTCATCTTACAACTTACCGAGCGTCACGCAATCGATTTTCCGCGATCATCTTTCATCATAGTGGAATATTCCTTGCCCGTTTCTTCATATAGTCTTCTCACTTTGCGCGCGAGTAGGTTGGTGTGATGTCTGTACAGAATTTACCAACTTATTAAAAGTAGATGTGGATGTAAATGGGATGTCACTATTGAATATTTAACACGCGCAATATTCGAGAAACAATTGACAGCTTTGCAATTGGTCTATACGTTTTAACTATTTAACCAATATTTGTTTATTTTGTTGACAAAAATGCGGACAGAGACCAAAACTGTTCCTTCGACTTGATATATTTTCAACGTTCAGGGGTGTACACACACTGATTTTCACATATGTGCCTTATATTTTTATTGGCTTACATAAGGAACCGGCGAATTTTTAGAGGGAAAAGCGAAGCGTTCCTTTCGTGATCAGCTATTTGTTTACTTTTCTGGTGGTTTTATCTCTCCTCTGTTTGGTGACTACGCAAATATCAATATGTGAAAATCAGACTATCTGAAGGCTTGAAATTCTATTACGATCGATTGTGGCCGCTTTGTTAAAAACAAAAGATATCGAGAAACGGGCAAGGAATATTCCACAATAGTGCAAATGTTCGTGAAAGATGAGGGTTACTAATATTTTGATGCTGGAGCAACATTTGATGCCTGATTATGCCCACCCAGCCCACCCCGCAAACACACACACACACCAACAAAAAGGACACTGTCTGCCTGATGACCTCTGCCAATCCCACCTCCAGCCCACACAACCTTTTTTCCAATTCTCATTACGACGAATGCGCAAGTTTTCCTATCACACAACTGCCCAAAAACAAAAGAAAATTCGTTCCATTAGTCTCAATAGTTCACATAAACCGAATTCAATTGTACCTAAATTCAACAAGTCCAAGAAATCAATACAAACTTAAGCCATAACATGAATGAGCTGGCTCCAAGAGCCCTTTGATTGTAACCTGGAGTTAGAATAGAATAGAGTGGCTAGATCGTGGAACGGAACGTATAATGTTGGAATGTCGACAACAAAGCCGGAATCTAGTGAAATTAAGTATACAATACAAGATTACTGAACCATCTTTTGAGGGTCAAGAATAATTGACCCCTACTACCTTCCCCCTGGCGTGCGAGTCACTAATGCATCTTTCTATGAACTTTATTTTTTAATGTCAAAAGTCATAAGTCACAACGTTGATGTGGTATAATGACTTTTGAGTTATTTTTTCCGACCGAAAATGATTGTTTCGCTCCAGTCCCTCTGTGCTTACTTGTAGTCGTCGTCTTTACATATATGATCTGTGGCAAAAGTTTTGCATTACTCCTTTATTTATTGAAAAATAACTACCGTTTGATGTGTATCCACATCATAATGGGAGGGGTGGGAGGAATTTTAACAGGGTTACCTGAGAAAGTATGCAGGTATAGTGGTTTATTCTTATTGAAAACAAATTCCACGAGTACCAGTAAAGGGAGAGAGTGCCAAGCTGTGTCATCGATGATTATCAATGTTTCCTCTTATTTCATTAAATATGCTAGATTATCCACCGTTGATTAAGTTGTTGGCCGAACAAGCACTGTGCTTTGATAGCAGGACAACACTGCCTTAAAACTACACAGGATCGAAAGTGAAAGACGAACGTAGTTTTCCTTATGTATATAGATGCTTAAAAAATCCACTTGCGTCCTGAATGGCTAAAATGGGCGTAACTGACGTTTCGCAATGTCCGTTTCGTTGCGTGGAACCTTGTTGCACACTCCTCAACAACATCAACAACAATAAGCTCATAAATTTGTATCTAGTAAAGGAATACATTTATGATGAAAAACAGAGAAATCAAATCAAATGATCGTCACGCCACAACTCTAACATGCCTCTGATCTGCTATGTCGTTGCCATAAGTGGTGATAACTTTAGGTGAAGAGGTGATAACTTAAGTTTATCAAAGGGCATTTTACAAATTTCCTTGCTCTAAAGAAAAATGACCTTGAAGAGGGATGTTCTCAGCAATAGGAAATCAGTCGGGATATCTGTGAAACATTTCTCCTATTCAGTTGAAAGCGTTTTCCCACATGCTCTGACTAAAAGTCAATAGTAATTTGACAAAGATGCTAAAGGTTGGGTCGAGGAGAGTAGAAAAAAACGAAAGTAATGTCCACTCCAGTGGGAGTGGTCTTAGCATATCTATGAAGAAATTAGCTGTCACCCAACCATTATTTGCTATCTGATAGCCTACTTTTCACAAATTTTCAATGAGCTCATTTTACATACATATTGGGTGTTCTACTAAAGTTACGCTTGAAAACGTTAAACATCACTTGCGGTAGCGTGTAGGGACACTATATTTAGACTCAGGTCGCTCCAAAGGTGACACGCATTGAAGGGAACACCAAACTTTTTCAGCTCTTGGTCGCTAAAAATCTCTTTGGCTTTCGTCTTCCTTAGAATCTCGGGGCATTTAGGCATATTTCTATCCCTTATGTTATCAAGCATCGAATAATATTCAGCCAAAAGTTGAGAGTATTCCTTGACATCATTGTTTTCATGAAGGTCTTTAGGACCCTTGTAAACTACTGCATGCTCCCAGTCTGCCCACAGAGTCATGTAAGGCGTTCCCACTTGAATTTCTGCCGCTGTTTTAAGCTTAGGAATTGCCACCTTAAAATGGAGGCGTCGATATCCTGATCCTCTCCATGGCCAGTAAATCTTCACTCTAGGGTCGGAGCTTTCTAGTGTTGGTCCACAAACGCCATAACATCTAATCTCGGTAACGGATTTGTTAAAAGCCCGCAGATAAAGATTTTTGAACTTAGAAATATCACTTAGTGTTGGGACAGTTACGCGACAGCCAACAATGTCTGTGATATCCCTATAGTCACTTGTCTTCTCCTGTTTCATCTTGTTCCACAGGGATTCCAAGCTCTTAATTCTCCCAGTGATAACTCCATTCATTCGATTCTTTTTCAAAATGTGATCCAAATCTGTCTCAAGCCTTTTCAACACTTCAGGTAAAGCTTTCAAAAATTGCAAGAAGTGGTCAATGAATGAAGCCAGTTTGCTGTCTCGAGTTAAGCGGTCCGATAGAGAACGTCTGTATCGAGAATTAATTTTATAGATTAAATCTGGTGTGTATTTCAAATCCGTCATGTTCCATTGGTATCCTTTGGGTTTGAATTCGGAGGAGATACCACCGTTGTCATCGTCACAGTCTTTACATTGTAGAATTTTTGCACACGAAATATGAAGGTGGAACAGAATCAGCATGAAATACACAGTGTTCATTTTCGGACTCCTTGTAAAAAAGATTGTAGTATAAGTTGTCTTAAATCAAAGAACACCATTTTTTATTTACACCACGAACAGTATGACTTAATCCATAAATTACCTGTAACTTATGGATGATACATCTGACTGCTCAAGAGTAAGGAAAGATCACGGTGGACGACACGTCCTGTGGTCAGGTCTCTGCCAGAAACTGCTTCCTGTGTGTTGCTTCCATAGCCAGTCACCGTGGCAAATTACTTTGTTTTTTCTTTTTTGCGCGCCAATGAAACCCAGCAGATTGGCTTCGTTTTATAAAATTCATTCCGTCCATGGGGCGGATTTCAATATTACATCACAATGTCAGAAGAAGCGAATCGACGTTTCGACCTTTCCGCTACGTGGTGACTAAGCGACCTGTTGCTAACTGTGTATTGCAGCCTTTAGAATATACAGGTGCCATTCAGTTTTCTTTCTAAGATTTTTCATCTTTTTTTATGCACAAGGTTCTATTTATGGATGCTGTATTCTTTTCATTATATTTCCTGTCTCTTAAGAACAGAAAATCTGTCGTGGAATTCATTTCCTTTGGGTTCTCCACCTCGAAATTTTATTTTTAGTAAACACCGGTCGAAGTTAACACCAGTTGTTTAGATCGCTCAACTGTAGACGGAAAACTGCAATAAGCATTAAATTGTAATTACTACTAGCGCTAGTCTTTTCTTAATCTGTTATCCACGGGTAATTTCCAGAAATTTATTAATTTTTGATAAGGAAATACCGTTTTATCAAATGAAACTGTTCATAACGTTCGAGTTAAGCAAAGAGTGGATCCTTCTCAACGATGTTTTTCCGATACTATACCGGTATATTATTCGCTAGTCTTCTTTGGTTAGGATATTAAAATGACTCTCATGTTGGACCCACTTCGCGGGGAATAAAATCCCATAACAAATACACAGCTAGCCCTTTTACTGCCAAGGTGCAATATGCGATAAAAACGTTTGGGACAATTGTCTTAAACAAGCACTGTTTCCCCTTCTCATTGCTACGTCGGAACAGTTTAATGAAGGTAGCTCCTTAGAGGTTATAGTTCCACCGGTTTTCCAGAAGCAGTGCTTAACGGGACATGTTTTTAAGATTTCGAAATTCTGGTGAGAAAAAGACGAAGTGTTGGTAGAAGGTTCAGCAAAAAAATAACAATAGTTTATTTCACATTTCCTAACTATGTTACACTAAGTACATCATTATGTTTAGCTAAAAAGATTTTCAGAGAGATTTACAAAAACTAAACATAGTTATCTAGGGTGGAAAATGCCAATATTCTAAGTAAACTGTAAAGTTTGCAATTTAGGCAGTAGTCTTTTCAAGTTGCAATTTAAATGTGAACATCTACATGCAATAATTGGTTAAAATCCTTAGTAGTTATTAGACCGAGTGTATTGCCTGGTAATTTCTAAAATCACGTTATACAGAAAGAGTGAAGTTACGCGAAGGATGAAAAAAGAAAAAGTATAAGTAATTAGACTCTTCAACGAGAAAATTGCAACTTTCCTACTGTCCGCCTTATTTTTTGACAAGCTTCCCAATCACGCGTTCGTAGAATTGTACGTATTATGAAAGTGCGAGAGAATATAAACTGGTTTTAATGCCTCGGTATATGCATTGTGATCTCAACAAGTACGGCATACACCGCCTAACCTTGTGCTTTTACGCCTAATTGCATCATGGAGGTACAGATATATCACACATATTTGGTAAAAGGAATTCAAAGAACAACGAGAAACATTACGAAGTATACCGTGATGAAAATAGTATACCCAAGAGGAAAGAATCCTCTAGCTATTCTGTCTAAATGATTTTCCAAACTTTTCATATTTCCAAAGACCTTTGTGCGTAATTTCACCCACAGACGATTGTCATGTGCTGTAACATCCTCGTGATTTTGAAATGCCGTCGGGCCTTCTGACGATGCACTTTCGTCTTGACTACTCTCGAGGCTTTGAGCAGTTGTCATGTCATTTTTCTGCAAGGATTAATGTTTAGAAAATGGTAATAGTGAAAATTAATAGGTAAGATAAAAAGCCGGTAATAAAAAAAGGCGATAATGGAGTTCGATTCTAGCCTTCGGTCATGGCTTGCTAAGAACTGTGCGGGTAAGATGAATTGAAATGTCGAGTAGATAAGAGGGGCTTATCTATAACGCTTTGCTTTCACTAAAAGTATTTTTATAATGAAAAGTTCGTACGGTGAAGAAGGATGAAGTTTTTCTGGCAGTTCGTTGGTACCCATTTTTTCTCCTGGGTGGACCTCTCGACCCAGAGTCTAGGTTTTTCACCCATGGTCTAACCCAAACCACGGTTTTACGCAGTCAATGGGCCTCTGGTTTTCTCCATAAGAGTGTTGATTAAATTAAATGTCTTTCCACTTTTATCTTACGACCCTCTTAACACTTTTCGCAAAAATAAATATTCACACAAAAGGTTCAGCTAAATTGAGGATTGTTTAAAACGCGTTTTTGTAAAAAGAAAACAAATAACAAAAACAAAAAAAACGGCTACACTTTGTTTAAACAATCGGCCCTGACGTTTTGGTTAACGCGTTTTCTTTCCTTAGGGCGAAAAACTAAAGGGAAAAGAAGAGGAATCTGACTTAAGTACAGCTAACTTGACCTCGTAGTACGAAAGACTTAAAATCATCACGACGATATGACTTTAGTTGGCCGAAGATTGCTCAAGATGTCAAACAAAACAAAGTTGGAATCAGCAAAATCACTGGAGCTTTCGGTGGGGATGCGGGGATGCGAATAAATCGTTATTTATATTAGGATGATGATGAGTAAAAGTTTATTGCTCCACTGGAGTGAGAAAAGTTTGATCTTGCCTTTTCTTCCTCAGAGGAAATTCCATTCTCTATCCGTCCTATGGATACAGCTTTCCTGTAGACGGCAGCAGTTTCAACGAGCGCTAAGAACGTAAACGAAAACGAAACAATCAAGAATAGGTCAGCGGCATTCACATAGCTGACGCGCGGCATAGCCTCATTAATGCTTCCGACCAGGAATATCTGGGTGAGAAGGGAGGTGATACCAATTGCACTTCGGTCTCCGATGTAGGCAGGGTCCATCCAAAATGCCATCCACGAGACAACCGTACAGAGAACGCAAGGGAGATAGATACGTATGATGTAATACCCAATCCGTCTTGCTGCGGTGAACTTTATTGTTAGCACATCAAAACAACCTATAAGACAATCGATCATCGCTTTTGAGAAAGGAGGGTTTTCTACGTCTTCGATAATTGTGGAATTGTCAAACTTGATAGTAGGGCCATGTTGTAATGCTGGGAGATTTAAAGGCCACTTTGTAACTGAAAACCATCAATCTTCCTGTTTTTGTTGTTTTTGTTTTTAATCTGAATTTGTATTAGGGCTCGCCATAAACGAATTGAATCACCCAGCATTCTCGTTACATTATTATGTAATAACAAATAGTATAGACAACCTTGAGACGCCCTTGGAACGTAAGCTTACTAAGGTACGTTTTCATGTAATTTCATGACTGCATTCAGAATTATTGCGCTGAGCACCATGCTTCTAGAAATCCAAATATCGAGGATCAATTCAGATTATATGATAAGAAACCAAAGTAATTCTTTCACGCAGGCATTATTAAAGAAATAGTGTAATCAAACTCAAACGCACAAATCGTTCATACCCATAAATAGCTCTTTGGTGTTCATCTCTACACTTTGTTTCGTAATCATGAATTCAGACATCTCTTTGTTAAAGAGTTTGACGTCGCTTCCTGCATAGCGCAGCTGTTTGATATCCCTTCCATCTGATAATAACATTAAAATGGCAATTGAACCAATTATGTCCCAAGAACGCGTTCATAATACGACATCCTATGAAAAAACGTGCCTGGAAGCAACTTGAAACAAAATACCTTTACAGTATAAAAATGAATGTCTCACGTACACTATGGGATTGTCTATAAACAGATAACATACATCTTCTCAAAAAACCATTCTTGTTAAAATGTCTTCCGAGAGAATCGAGTTTGGATGCATTTTGTGACGAAATACCTTTCTGGTTTAAAAAGGACGGTTTCAGCTGACAGCAGGGTACCTCTCATCATTTATCACCTGAGAGGGGAGGGGGGGGATGGAGGATCTTGGGGGGAGAAGATCTTATGGTTTCAGGAAGAAGGGAGGGGTGGATCCGTCGTCACCAATATTCGAATGAAACAAAAGCAATTCATTAATGGATCATTTTAGAAAAGTGACTGCCAATAAACTGCCAATGAAGGGGGGGGGGGTACTAACAAGAAAATCACAGAGCCTTATGGGTAGATCCCGTAAAGTTTACAGCGACAACCAAAATCTTCCGACCGGTCCCTTAGCGGATGGATCGTGAAGTGCCAGGAAGAATACATGATTAATTAAAAGAGAAAAATGTCTTGATTGAATCCACAAAGTTTTTCCAAAAATCTCATTTATATTTTAACCAAAAATAGATTATAAAATCAGGAAAACTGCTCAGTTATACGGAGTTGCACAAAAGCTTCCATTTTGTAGGCTTTAGGGCCATCATAAATGATTGAAGAGAGATCTATATCATCGAGTAGCAATGGCTTCACTAGAAAAGTACGTTGTACTTACAGCTTAGCATATCCATTCTGAAAACTTGCGTGTCCATTGGATAGGCACGAAAATTCATCAGGGTTGTGGCCGTCATTGTTACCCTAGTAGGCGATTCTGTGTTAAATATTTATTTTTCTGTTTATGTCTACCAATTTATTTTTGTTTTATATTATGCTGCTTGTCCCTTTCCCCCCCTCTCCCCCCCCCTGTCCTGTAAATACCCTAATAAATCAAACCACAGCAGAAAGAAAAACTGGTAAATTTCAAAATGAAACAAAAGCAATTCTTGTATTCTTCATGGTCGACTTGCACAATTATTTACGCTTTCTTACCTGAGTGATTCACACCGAAGGAGAAATTAAATGGAGGGCACAACTTGCCAAATGAAATGGAATTTGAGTCATTTCATTTCATTCAGAAAAAGGAAAGCACCACAGATCTAATAGAAAGTTATTACTTCCTATATTCAGTTACATCCATAGCCTACCTCTGACTGAAAACTATCAAGCCATCTCCATAAAGTACCACGGTGCGAGTTTCTTGGTGCACAGATGTTTTCACAGCGTTTTCGAAGTAAGTATCTGGTAGCCAAAGGTCGTTCAGTGCTTCATGTTGTAAAGTAAGAGCGATGTCTCTACTACCAAACACTAACCTGGTATCTTTCCATATTTGCCTCATGTACGCATCAAGCGTAAATTCCTGAAAAATAATGACAGAAGGAGCATGAAAGCAATTTTTGTATCATTACGCACTAACTAAGGGATCTGCCATTGTCGGAAGTATTTGCCAAAGAGTTATGTAAAAGCCATGCTAATTTTTTTGAAGTTTTCGCGAAATGCATTTTGGGGCGTAATACGTCACAAAGTTCCATTTTTATCGTCAGATAACATTACTCAGTACTTTTGTTCACAGATTTCCCAGTGGATAGATGAGATAATAAAGTGTAATCGTGGGATTTCAAAAAAATTCTGGTTAGTGACACTATTTAACAGCCTCCGCCAGTTTTTCGAAAAGTGTAACACCAGAGCTAAGCATCAATGTTGAAACAAAGAAACTTTAGGTTTGTAAGCTTCATTCCTCATAGAAATATCGTTGAAAATTAGAGTTTTTCACTAGGGGTGTGAGTGCAAAATGTCGTCTTCACTCAATTAAATCTTAGCCGTGACTTAAACTCTTGTTATTTATGCCCGGCCTAGAAACAGTCTGATTAATCAGTTGCCAATGTTTGTTTCGTCTTCCTTCCAGTTATTTGTTTTCCCGATTTAGTTTCTATCACCCAAGGGATACTTATTAGATCTACGTGTTCTTGGTTGTTGTTGTTATTTTCTTTTTTGATAAAGTATTGTAACCGAGACAGTAGAAAATAAAACGTTGTGTAAATGTGGCTTCAAAAAAATCTTGAGTTTTCTGGTGTTTTCGCCAGCAACAGGGCACCGGCCTTAAGTTCTTAATTAATTAAGTTTCAATTTCGGATACTTATTTTGAAAACAATGGTTACCCAGTGGATTTAATAGTGCATTAAAGAAAGGAGGGAGTTTGATTCTCACCATGTCCTCAGTACGAATGTTCCCTATGGACAAAATTCCCAGAGACACTGTTATAGGAAGAGCCTTTCCTGGGAGGAAAAAATAAAGATGAAAAACGACAACAGGATTAACCATGTCCCAGTTTTGTCCGAAAACTAAAAATTGGCAACTGCTTCATGTCATGGGTATACCACTGGACTATGCCCCAGTTTGAAACGTCCAAAGTTTATCTGACAAGAATTGTTGAAAAATTGCAGTACGTGGTAAACCACATTCTAGATTGCAAGGAGGGAGAATTTTATGACTTCAATGAGGAGGGCAATTTTTGTGACAAAAATTCATGGAAACTTATCAAATGGTCACAAAGTCATGAGTTTCAAATGACCCTTACCTGCATAGTCAGGTCTCAACCTTTTGTCGTAGTTTCTGAAAAGTTTTTGTAGGATTTCGGCGGCATTATGAGCTCCATTCACTGGTGGCATGGTCCCATTAGTTACTATGGCAATGATGTCCTGGTCGGCCTCGCTTAAATTAAATAAATCAAAATCAAAATAAAAAAAAATCTCATCGTTAGCTGTTTGAGTAATACAAAGATAATTTCGCCGTAAAGGTCTAGTGCCGACTGTAAAGACAAATTAGGCCAGAAATTGATATGTTTAGTCATTCGAGTTGAAGGTAAATTTCCACAGCAAAAACACAATTCTATATATCGATAAAATGATCGTTATCGATAAGTTTGAACGGATAGGTAATTTCTCGAATTCCAACCGGCAGTATCACTTAAATATTGCTGAACATTTTTTGGAAATTCTCCCAAATTATGTCAAGTGCTCTTGCTACTTGTTTTATACTGACCTTTCGTGTTCATTCCTCAGCAAATTGCAAGCTAGCGTAAAAATTAAACTCGTCTCTAAGTAGAAAATAAGGTAAAAAGTCCGAAGGGACATCGCAAAGCAGACCTTCCGACGGGTTTCTTCAATCTGCAAAAAAAGTCAAAACATTTGCAAAATTCATAAGCTCTATTTGGCGTATCTCACGAATTAACAGTATGAAACCGAAGCACTCCTCCTTTGGTGGACAAGAATAGAGAATAATTAAGTGGTACCTAAAAACAGATAAGTAAAATGAAAAATTCTCTTTCTGAAAATATTGTTAAAGCTCACGAAAAAAAAGGCTGGATTCAGATGTCGACCGGGGAGTGTATAACTTGCAAACAACTCACAATGCATGAATCTACCAACCTAACAGTGGTATTTAAGACTTCGCCGTGATAACGATCACGGAGAGTTGGTTTATTTATGTTTAATTTTGACGATTGGACTTAGACTGTTTCATTATTAATAAAAATTAAAACAAAATTCCCGAACGTGATTGGTTATCAATAACCTGATAACAGTCCTTATAGGACGGCGTACGTGATAGGCGTAATGTCTGAGTAACTTTGCAGTACGTGTCATGTGAAACCTTAGTTAGTGTTAGGTTTTTTTATGACATGTTTCCCCACTGTTCAGAGTCTCAATTGACTTGTAACAGAACTGTAAACAAGTACCAGGGCGAGAAACTCTTCAGCCTGATTGTTACACAGTCATTCGATGAATAATCAAAGGCTCAGCCTGTACAAAACTTTTCTTTCATAGCGCTGAGGAATTCTGAAAATTTTTTTTTGAAATAAATTTTAGAATATATGCTATTGTGAACGTTTTCCCATCCCCTATAGAAACTGAGGATGAACGAGTATGTTGGCCGAGTGGCGGCTTATTCTGTGTGCATCTTGACGACGAGATTCGAAATAAGATCTCGATTTTTCCGCGAAAAAAGATTCTTATCCCTATTTAGTCCTCCCAAATATTCCATTTAACATCTGGTCAATTAAATGTCGCTTTACCACTTGGATCTAAAAACCTCAATGATTAGGGAAATGAACAAAATTTAGGTAGATTGCAAAAAAAAAAAGAAGAAAAACAGGAATCTTTTCCAAATCTCTGCAAAATCAGAACCGTAATTTAGGTTCGTGATGAAGATAGGTAATTAAATGAAAACCTTTTGTTCAAGAAGCTCATTCTAGACTTCTGTAAGGCTGCATGCGAGGAAACTTCCTATTGTTAACCAAAGATTAAAACTTTAATGACGCCTTACATCACCGCATGACGCTGGAACCGTGTGATTCTAACTAAAAAAAACTTGGTGTTGGTGTCAGTTCTGCTCCTTTCCCATTTGTCCGCGCAGCCAACTGGCAGAGTTTCGTTGATTTCTATCCAAGAACGCCCTTTTGCACGATATAACGGTCATTCATCATCTCTAAAAAATTAAGTAGACTATGACCTTAAAAATGGATGAGAAAATTATTGTCAGACACGGCCTTGAAAGATGATTAAGAAGTATCTGTATGGCACGGGTATAAATGCAACCCTGCGTAAGGGTTTAAGATTTACTTTTAATCGAGTTTACGTCAACGTAAGTGTACCTGTATTGTTATTTTTTGGTAAATTACATTTTTCGCACAAAGGGCCGACATATCCGGGACGGTGTAAATACTTATTACAGAGATAAATTAAAGATAAATATAATTTAAAGAAAAGAAAATGACTTAACGAGTGTAAGTTTGTGGTCAAAATTCTGCTCTCTTCCCGGGGAGAATCTCCATAATAGATCACGTTATCTGAAATTCCCTCTGCTAAATTATAATGTTAGAAATAATTTCCTAACACTCGATGTTTTGTTGTCCCTTTTCTTTATTCACTCTTACAACTCAAGTTATTACAACGGGGACTAGCTCTGATCTCTCGAGGAAAGTGTGGGTCACTGCTTATAAAGGAGACTTACTGAGCTGTCAGTCTCTAACCTTCGTCATGTTTTTACACTTAAATAGCGAATCACGTTGGGCTACGCAGAACGGAGTTCGCATACCAAGTAGATACCTTCGCGATGTTTACGTTTCACGATACGTTTTTCTGACTTAAATTTCTTGGTCTTACGGTCAAGTTCGGACAAAACAAAAACAAGATTGACCAAATAAAAATTATAATAAACTTAGTAACAGAACTAAAATCATACTTGAAAAGATATCTTAAAAGAAAATAGTCCTTGAGGGCTGTTGCATAACAGCAGAATGAACACAAAATTCGGAGAAGAAAGGGCGTACCCAAGGTACCGCCCCTAAAAGAGCTACATGCTAGTCGTAGAAGTTATCTAGTTACAAATTCAGTGCGGAAGAGGAAAAGTACTACATGGTTATACTTAAGTCACCTCTAAGTAAAAGAGGTGTTGAGCGTGTTAAATTGTACCTGTAAGATAAGACCGCCGAAAGGGTTAAGAAATGATCAACTGGCTTATTATAATTTTTATTGAGTGTCTTGTGCTAATATATTTTTCCCATTTATTTTCACGTTCCAATAAGTCAAAAATCACCTATAATGAAAATTTTTGCTGGATGCCAATTTTGTCTTTTAACAATTAACAGTCAAATCTCCCTTCAGTCAATATTTCCATATTGTTTATGAAAGACACTTAACATCTGTTGTTTGGAAGCCTCAGGACATCATTGAGATCCAATAGGAGTTTTTTTTTTTTCAATTTTTCTGTCAATAATCAGGAAGGATTGACGAATGTCAAAACTATTCGTCAAACTGTCTCTGTGTTCGCTTTTATGAGAGCCAGTTCTTCTCAGAAGTTTCTCAAATATAGCCATTACGAACAGTTACGAAGCTACAACTAACTATACGCACGAAGGACATGGTTTTCCCTCTCTCTTTGCTCGCAAGTTTTTCAATTCTGGCTTGGTGGAGTGTGTTTAGTTCGTGTTATGCCAGAGGTGATCATGATCAGGATGTCAATCAAACACGGTAAAATACATGCTAGAGAATATAGAGACGTAATGACAATCTAAACCCACAATTACATTAACTATTTTCCATGAGACGGATGATCATATTTCACCAATTTTTTCAAATACATTTTTTTTGTTTTTATTATTTTTATGAATAAATAAGCAAACTAAACAAATCTGATGTAAATTCAAACAAAGCAAATATTGACAAAAAGAAACCTCTATCATTTTAATATTCCCATGATTTATCTCTAAATTCATATATCGAAAATCTGTGGTTTCTATTTTCTTATATATCAGATTGGCGGATTATCGTATGGCCCTGGTCACACATTTCTAAAGAATCTATAACGAAAAGCTAGCGTGCGTGGAGCCGGACGGGCTGACTAGGCCAGTCCACAATAAAACTGTGGGGTTCCACACTTGCAATTTCTAAAGACTAAAAATCCAATCATTAGCTTTAACTTAAAGACAATAAGCGAAATAAAACATTTTGAAAGTCCCTTTGACATCAAATTCAGTTCTGTTATAAATTAAAGATGTTATAGTGGAATTTTTTTTCAGTTGTCTAACGAGTGCCTTTGTTATTAATCCAATGACTTCCCAATTAGCTAGCTTCAAACCTAATTTCAAACCCTTTTAAGGCCTAGTGGTCACATGATAGAGTACTACTTGACTAAGCCCAACGGCCCAACTTTTTCGGCCCAAAGGCTAAATATTTGGCTCCCGGTCCCAACCTCGAGCCAAATGTTCTTACTTATTTTTTTCGTTCACCAACACATGAAGGGATTTTTGAAATATTTCTTTTTTACAAATGAGATTCAGGGGAATTCATGAGTTAGATGGTGAATTTTCCTTAAATCGAAAATAAGTAAAGAAGAAGCATTTTCTTACAGCTAAGGTTTTTTTCAAAACGTGCCATTTAAATCAACTCTCCGATTTGGGAGGGTGCGAATGATTTGCTGTTTAATATCAAATGTCGACTTTGCGTTCTTCTTAGCGTCCTATGATATTTTCTCTTCTTCTGGTTGGCTGTTTTGGTGGCAATTATTACTGATTTTCAATCAAATGTACTGCGTTCCATACGTTTTGGAGAATTCCGTATAAAAATTTCTATTGGCCTTCGTTTCCCGACCAAAATGATGTAATAACTGTGTGAGACAATTTGAATTCTACCGCAATGGAAACAAGCACGCTTCTTCTGGTGCTAAATAAACAAAAATATTTACGATGTAGCAACTTCCTGTGTCGCATAACAGCTAAACTAAAGCTACACTTTTTGATCGCAACAAAAGAAGAAGTTTAGTTTCGAACTTTTTCACTCTCCCTTTATAACAGATATTATGCAAACCAGTATTTGTATGATAGCAAGCACACAAACAAAACAACGTAAGAGAATCAAAATTGTCTCTGATATTGGTTAATCTAAAACAACAAATTCTTACCCCCCCCAGAAAAAAACGTCGATGGTTGCAAAATAAGACAAAAGAAAATACAGCTCAGCCATATTGGCCTGAAGTCAGCTCACAGGAGCGAAGGATCCGGAAATGATAGACAATAATTCAAATGGAGACTTCAACGTGATTGGGTTATAGATGCTTCTCGCTGTAGGATTTTTTTTTCAGGTAATACAAAGTAATTAGAATTCTAAGATTGAAAATCAAAAATCTCATGGTAGCATATGGCAGGAAATCAATGTAAATTGTGATCTTGCTCTATTGATGGCATTTTTATGATTCAAAAGGGCCGTGCGGAATTTCATTAGTGGGTTAATATAAATGGTTATTATCTTGGACTTCTTGAGGCTTAATGGCATTTCAATGAAAACTGAAAGCAGCCACGAAAAGGAAAATTTTCAAACACCGAAGAAAGTATGATATTTTTTTTTATGCGAGTTTCCTCTTATGACTAAATTGTAATTTGTTGGAGGTTTCTAATGGAGTGGGGCTTTCACGGCTAACGGTTAAAAGTTTGGCCATTCGACGGCTAACGGTTAATTTCATTCCTTTGTTGTCAACATAAATATGAAAATATGTATTTTTATGGTTACCTGTTTTTATGACTGCCGGTTAAAATTCCCCAAATTTCCACCCACGGGCTAAATTTCTTTTTCTTTAAGCCTTTTTACGGCTAACGGTTAACCATAATGTAAGCCAG